AAAAAAAAAACAAAAATATGGAAAACGAGGCCTCCAACGGAAACGTGTCCCCCCCCTTGAAACCCTGCCAAGCAAGCGGCGAGACCCGCGCAGTCCTCACCGTACATCAACGTCGACAAAGGGCGAAGCAGGAGCGTAGGCGCCCAATTTCCGACGAAGGTACGCTGGGTTACTCATAAACTAGAAGTCGGCGAGACTCTTTGAACCAGTTACGCAGCGTAGCAGTGTATATCCGGAATATACTCTGAGCGTACCACCAGAACAGCCAACATCACGTACCCAACAACAGCAGTAACACCCCAGTCTCTTCATGACTCCGGCTTAATACAGCGACATTAGGGTTGTTCCACGTACTCAGCATACCTACTCATCTATTGCAAAAAGAATGGCTTCATTTGGTTCAGAGACACCAAAGCATGACGAGGTCAACATTCAAATTTGTTGTTGGATCCCGTGGATGGTGGCATCCGTAGTCCGGGTGTGGACGACGGTGGGTGCGTGGGTGCACTTCCATTAGGTTGGCACGATGCAACCAAACCTTGATCTTTTCTATCGACTATGCTCACGTACCCACCTAGTACAAAAGAAAATACTTCATTTGGTACAGAGACACTTAAGAATGACGAGGTCAATATTCAAATTCGTTGTTTGATCCCGTGGATGGTGGCAACACCCGTAGTCACACGTGTGTAGGGCGGTAGGTGCGTGGGTGCACTTTCATGAGGTTGGCATAATGAAACGAAACCTCGATTGTTTTATCTACTAAGCTCACATACCCACCTTTTACAAGAAGAATTACTTCATTTGGTACAGACACAGAAGAATGACGAGGTCAAATTTTGAGCTTGATGTTGGATCCCGCTCGTGATTCGGCGTGCCCGTTCGTGCTGGCCACATGTCAAAGGAAAACACTAGATTTGGACAAGTTGATCTGGAAACTGCCACCGACAATTCGAGGCGGCATAACGAAGAAGAGCACCGCTGCTGTAACAAATTCGTGACCAAGCAAGCACTTGTCGTTTCCATTGTTTGTCGGTGCGCGGCCCCGCTTTCAGGGGTAGCTTCATGATGTCGTGCAGTCACGCAACTGCATGGCTAACCGGGACAGAAGATGGTGTGTTGTTCCCCCCTGTGCTGTTGCCCCCGGCGGTGGGGGAGGGGGTATACACTGCCCTTGTCCCCGCGGCATCCGCCCGCTGGCCAGTAGACGGAGAACCCATCCTCTTCAGCTGCTGCGAGAGGCAACGAAGAAGGAACGCACCATCGCGAGTACAGACACCTAGGCGAGCGCCGGGCGCAAGATTCTGGCGCACGATTGAAAGGTTCGGGCCGAAGATCAGGGAAGAAGCGTCCGGCGAGGGTTAAGGCCAGACGTTCTTTGGTCCGACTCCAACCGCAGTTGGCGCAGAAGATTGCAGAGGTGGCAACGAGGAGCAGCAGGCGGTGGGGAGGGCGGATGCAAAGGCCCGCAAGGAACGTGAGATTGCTGAGGCTCAGCGCGAAAAAACGGCGAGCACTACCCCGGGACTTCGTTCTCGGCGGTGAGTCAAGATGGGAAGAGGCCACGAGCAGTTGCCGATAGTGACGGAAGTAAGAGAAAGAGGAAGCCGCGCGCGAAGGTATGGGTCGCCACTACTCCCGGCGAGCCATGTAACCTGTGTCCACGAGGGCAGCATTTGGCAGGAGAGAAACTGTATGCTACATGTCACAGGTCGGCAGATGAAGAGGGCTTCACGCACATGGCCAGTCGCATTTCTACGGCTAGAGATCTCTGCGACGGACTCCGATTTCCAGGGTTGGATTCCCGACGACGACGAGAAGGTACGCCTTTTTGTCCTCGTCTACCTACTTGCTGGTTGCGACTTCCTGCCTGCCATATCGGGTCTGCCTTTCGGAACCATGTGGGCTCGTGCTCTGAAGAGCGTGGGGACGGAGGGTGTGTTTCGCACGTCTATCTTCGTGCGCGAGGGTGGTGCATGGAGCGTCAAGATCGACGAGTGCATCAAGTTGTTGGCGACCATATTCTACTTTTAAGTATGAAGCTGCCTTTGCTCGTGGTGGCCAGGAGCCCAGCTGGATTTTCCGCACGGACAACGGCGATGTCGCACACTACGTCGACGTCATCCGGATGCTTATCCTCAGGCGTGGTCCAAAGAAGGCTACATCAACGTGCCCTTCGTTCGAGTCCATGCGCCAGCAGAGCGAGCGACGCCATCAGGTGCTTGGGTACTGGCGAGATGGCTGTTTAGAGGTGGTACCGGTACAAGACTTCAACGGCAAGGGATGGGGGATCGACTCGAAAGCGGGGGGGACCAGCCCGGAGCACATGACAGCGGAAAGCTGCGTGGTATGGCTGTCTGAGTACTCTTACGTTGGCACCGACAACAAGACGCAAACAGAGAAATATGGTTGCAAACCGGGCCCGGGTAAGAAGAGTCTCTGCGTGAGGTGCGGCTGTCGACAAGCAGGAAGGAAATGCTCGCTGGCATTGGTGTGCAAGGCCACCTGTGGACTGATTCGCGCGTCGGGACCTGAGGCTCGGATCGCTGTTGTTACATCCAGCGTTCCTGCTGCGTCCACTGTTCCTGCTACACCCTCCATTCCTGCAACATCTGACATCGTAGCCGGAGCCCTGCGTTCTCTTTTGGTGGCAAGAGCCGTTAGTCAGCAGACAGCCGCACAGGCAGCCGCTAGGCAGCAGGCAGCCTCGCCGGGTGATTCAACAGGGACCGAAGAACGAGTACGGAGAGATGGAAGAGGAGGAGGAGGAGGAGGAGGAGGAGAAGGAAAACGAAGGGG